AATCCCTCCATGCATTTAGAGATAAAAAAAATAAAGAAAACAAAATCTAATAATAGCACTTGACTGGTTCTCACTAATACACAAAAGGGAATCAGCCTTTTGTCTAAAAAGAGACAATTTTACCAGCCAGCATGTGTGGGCTCTCACATTCCACACAAGCTATCAGTAAATCTCTTTCAGGCCCAGGCCCCAGGTCACACTTGAACAAATGAAACAGTGATAGAGAGTGCAAGTGAAGCCATATGGGAAGATGGTATTGTCAGAATTACTTCTTAAGTACACCAGTGTTGTTCTTTTTTAATAGCTCTTACCCAGGGTCAGCTTACCCACCTGGCAGAATTATGCTTCTCCTGATAAAAAACTAATGGCAGACCTGACTTAACACTTAGTGATGACTGTTACAGGCTGTGCCCTGCTTAAGCTGGCCATGGTCCTTGATATGGGGTGAGTCTAATGGCTGGTTATAGGTTAGGCCTGTCTCCTTTTGTTATGGGACTGGAGCTCAACTCCAGGTCAATCCTGGCACACATTTGCAGAAGTGGTTTCCTGCCATCCCTACACTCCCACTATTGTACAAACTCTTCCAACAAGCCTGGTGAGTGTATTAATTATCTCCAGTGCTAGCCGCAGAAGCATTCCTTTAGCTAAACTCTACTTTGTGTAACTTAACATTTCCTAATCAAATTTATTAGTAAACCCTTGATAGCCTCAGTTGTCTCAATTGTATTACTTCAAGTTTCTCCTACAGCATGACAACATACATAATATACTAGATGGAAGGCCCCAAACCACACGCAGTTGTTAGCAGTTTTTCCACAAGTTTGCACTGATGAGTGCAAAGTAAGTGGGAAGGGAGAGCTGAGAGGACTGGACTGAAATAGATAGCAATACTGAAAACACTGTAACAATACAAATCCTTATGAGAAAGTGTCAATGCCAAAATGTCCATAAGGAAAGAAACCTTCCACCTATATAAAAACATTAAAATGTCTAACAGTTTCCTTAAAATATGATAGGTGAGAAATTTTAAGTATTATTTGCTATGTTTTTTCAGAGCACAATAACTTATTACCAACATGAAGATGTGTTCTTTCTTTCATATATCGCCCCCCATTGTTTGGAATCTAAAGAAGGAGGCTGGCATTTTACTGGAAGCTGAATCAAGCACTGGGATGAAGGCACTGCTGCGTACATCCTTGCCCTTAGAACCTCACTGTACTCCAGCTTGACTAGCTCCCAGAACCTGTTCCTCTGCTTTTGGACTTTGTTTGCCAAGAAAGCAATGCTTTAGACATGCGACACGTACTCAAAACACAAGAACGACAGGAGCAAGTGTGTATAAAACCTCCTATTACTGCATTAGAACTAGCACCTTTCCCACAATGGCTAAAGAGGGATGACACTCAGAGGCACCACACACCAGGGGCTCACCTGACTAACCATCCTGGTAACAGAACGTTTTGGCTCTCCTCCCTTTGTAGGTTCAGACTCTAACAATTCTTCACGTGTCTTGCACTTCCAATATGAACTATTTTCATTAAGTGTCACTCATGAACTGTTAAAAACATATGCACAGCTGCTGTCTCTTGTACTTGCTTCCCCTTACCACAAACTTCTTTCCTGGGGTGCGGGGTAGGTCTAAATTGTCTGGATCTACTCACTCCATCACTGCCCCCAGACTTGAACCTTTTGCAGACCTGTCCCTGGTGAGGGTCTGAAGTCATCTGACCCAACCTTCCCTCACTGTTCCATGGCACTGCTGTTTTATGTGGATTTTTAAAGTCAACCATCAGACTTCTCTGACCTACAGGGGAGCTTTCCTCATTTAACAATCACAGTGTGGAATGGGTAATATTCCTGTATGTTGCTACAGTTTGCATTATGGGACATTTAGCAGAAGCCTGGCCTTATCTGTTATAAGAGCTGCCACTGCAATTATAGCAACCCAAATAGACCACTGTAAACCTATGCTGGGCTGCATGACAAGTTCTACAGTCCTGGCATCTTTTCATGAAATGCATTCTGCAGGGAGGGAAGTGTAGTGTGGTGTAGAACACAGCCCTTGACATGTACTCACAGTTTCTCAAATGAGAAGTTACATCCAGGTAATGGTCACCTAATGTTTTGGGTTCCAATGTTACCAGGTATGGAAAATCTGAGAGACAGCATTCAGTATATAACTCTGGCACCTATATCAATTTCTACAGATTCTTTTGGAAGTTTTAAATTTCATATTCACTCTAAACTTAAGATTTACTATTAAACTCATATATAAAAAGTTTAATGTGGAAGAGCTACCAGGTATAGTAATCCACAAATTTTTTTTCTTTTTTTTTATTTAACTTTTATTAATTACACTTTATTCATTTTGTATCCCCCCATAAGCCCCTCCCTCCTCTCCTCCCTATCCCACTCCCCCCTCCTTTCTTCATGCATGCCACTCCCTATGTCCACTGATAGGGGAGGTCCTTCTCTCCTTCTTTCTGATCTTAGACTATCAGTTCTCATCAGAAGTGGCTGCATTGTCAGGGTTCTAGGTTATCTCCATGGATAGTCCTTGGTTGGAGTATGAGTCTCTGGGAAGTTCCCTGTGTTCAAATTTTCTTGTTCTGTTGCTCTCCTTGTGGAGTTCCTGTCCTCTCCAGCTCTTACTATTTCCCACTTCTTACACAAAATTCCATTCACTCTGCCCGTCAGTTGGTTTAAACATTCACTTAAAGCTTATATTTTTTAAGGAAACTTATAGTATGGTATGCAAAGGAAAAATTCCTATCTTATAAATCTTTACTGAGATGCATTCTCCCAGTGTAACACTAGGTGTGTTGTGTAGATTAAAATAGGCAGGCAGAAGCTGCCCAATGACTTCTGGTAGGTCATCCACATTGCATGGGAACAGCTGCTGTTTGAGGACTACTACACAGATTAGTTTTGAATATCAATACATGAAATATGACAGCTGATACATCTATGTGTATGACTGCACTTTCTATTAGAGATGTGACTTCATTGATGCATGTAAAAGCAGCTGTGTTGTATATATACCACTCTCGCATACTCCAATTTCCTTGTACATTCTGCTGGTGGAGAGCATGCAGATATTAACATGGGGTACTGAGACAGGAGCTATTATTACTGTAAATTCTATCTGCAAGTCCTACACATGTGTGTGTTAACCCTACGGTTTAAAAACACAGGACAAGGAGGACGAGTCTTATCAGTACTGTTACCTAATCTCAACCTTTAAGAGACATACCACAGTTTACATCCCAGCTGGCGAAACTCTTATTGGAATCAATATTACTGATTTTGGTGAATGGATGTTAGTACCTAGTCATAGTTCTAATAGTTACATACTGAACACCTCACCAAGACTGAATTTGTTTCACATGTCACTGGCCAACAGAAGGACTTTTTTAAAAAGAGAAGTAGGGTGCTTCTTAGGCAACTTGGTTTTGGCAGCACAAGAGTAACATATGAAGTCTCAAGAACAGGTAGTACTAGCTGTACTAGCCACGTGACTCTCAGGCTTCTGGAATACTTATCAGTACAACGTGGAAAGATGAAGATATTAAGGTGAAGAAATCCATAATGTATTACCTCCTCAACTACATGGAAGACACTAGTAAATTTCACAAGACCAGAACGCTGACAGAAACACCAAGAGTACACTGTTACTGAGGTTCCAGATGAGAGCAAAGCCTCCATCAAGACCCGGATGACAGACCAATAAGTTACTTTCTGTCAAACAGTCTACCTATAAAATTTAAGTGAGGATAAATTTTATAGTGATACTAAAATGGTCTTACAATGTTTAGGCTTTGGAATGGTTATTTAAAAACAAACCAAAACAAACACGTGGGAGCAAAAGTGGAGCAGGAAAATATAAAATACAAAGAATTTGCTTGAAAGAAGTGTATTTGATATCATGGGCAAAAAAGTACAGGAAAAAAAACCACCTGTAATCTTTAAAAAGTAATATTAATAAGAACAAACTGTATTGTTTACACTAAGGCAATAAGAGTAGCACTTTGAGGGCAAAACTCCACCCACTGAGAAAGGCAGGGTATAAAACTGAAAATCCATTTAAAAGCCTTTCTTTCACAAAGAAGGAGCAGCAGGGCTGCCCTGCCTTCATCAGGGCCATCCAGTCAAGTATTTTCCAGGTCACACTGCACAAGCACAGAGCATGCAACAACCAGAGCCCGAGTCAGATACCTGACCATATAAAAACTGAAGTTGCTGTTATTGTTGTATGTTAGTTTTGCTTGTGTGCACAAGTAAAAAATTTATGGGACTAGGAAGATTTGCACCAAGATTTCTAGATAAGCTAATGAGGCCAAGCAATGTGTGATAACATTATATTCCAGAAGTCTCTAAGTCAATACCTGGCAATGCCAGAGTGGCAGACTAAGCCAGATGGACAACTCAGGGTGGCAGCAATGCCAGAAATGAGACAGCAGCCAAAGTGGGTGGCTCAAGAGAAAAAAATTCGCATCAACTACAAACAGGGCCATATCTGAGGCTGTCTAAGCTCACCGACCCTAGCCCGATGATATGAAGGACAGATTTAATGCCATTCTGCTGGACATTGGATGGTATATCCTCCTATTCTTCCCTTTCAAATTTAGTCTGAGACATTACTTTTTTTTTTTTTTTTTTTTTTTTTTTTTTTTTTTTTTTTTTTTTTTTGTTTTTTTTTTTTTTTTTTTTTTTTTTTTTTTTTTTTTTTTTTTTTTTTGGCTGGGGCATAAATCTAAGAGATATGCTTGGATCTCCATAGAAACTTTGGATGTCTAAATAGTCTACGAAGTTTAAGACACTTTAGGGCAAGGACCATGTTAATACTGCCTATGTGTTTATGTATATGTACATATATGGTACAGAACTAATAAATGAAAAGATGTGTTGTTCATGAAGAAAAATCTATTCTTAAGAGTATAATCATAACTTCATTTAGAGGGATAATGTTTATAGTATTGATGGAGAGAAAATAAACTTACCACTTGTCCATTGTGTGGGTTCTTATGAGCATATGGAGGTCCACGGATATGATTCCACATCTGGCCAGACGTCATAGCAAAGACTATACACTGAAAACCAGGGTACAATATTTCAATACATAAGCCAGGGAATGCCCGAATAATCCATTTAAAAAATAACCCTCACCATTATACTACCCTTTAAAAATCATGTATCAGCTCTCCCGTAGTATAAAATGTTAGTTACTATAGGAGCCTGGGCAAGTTACTTATTCTCTCTGTATCTTTAACTCCAGAGCTGTGAAACTGAGTTAATTCTTGCCAAGAGATACAGTGATGGCTAAATGACACAACATTATGTTAAGTACTGGCAAAATGACAATCTGACAGCACTTGGCAACCGGAGTCAGTCAAAAGAACAGCTGAGACTGGAGGTGGTGATGAAGGACATGCTCTTCCCTAAATCTTGTACCCTTCATTTTCACGCAAGGTAGCACTATCCATAGCTTTCACTCCTAGGTTAACCTATCTATGTTCACGTTTACTTAGCTGCATTCAACAGATTGCCTCACTACAAATTCAGAAGATCTGTAGAAAGAGAGGAAGCTACAAAAAGATATACTAAAAAATAACTCCTAAGGATTATTTTTGTACCTATTGGATCTATGTGGGAAAAATGTATTTGGAAAAGAAATCTTGATGATAACAAAGGATAACAGAAGGGAGCTAATAAATGAGAAGTCACAGATCAGTCATGATAACCCATGGGCATATGAGTTCTACGGAAACATTATTTTTAAAGCCATAAACTCAAACACAACTCCAGAATAAAGCGCATGCCTTAGGTCATACTATCTCTCAGTACACTTTAGGCCCCAGAATTTGCCCAATTACTCATCATTTCATCTGCCTGGCTCTGGTGACTATCTGTTTCAATGAGGGCTAAAAATCAAAATAAACAACAACCAAATTTGTGCAGTTTTGTCTGATTTGTTGTTTTTTTGTTACTGTTCATTTGTGGGTTTGTTTTTTTTTTTGTTGTTGTTGTTTTTTGTTTTTTAAGAGGACACAAAGAAGAAGAGGATACTGTACAACTTTGGAGAACATAAACTTAGTGGACTAAGATGCTTATGTTTAATAACTGCCTGTTAACCAAAGTGTTTCAACAGAACATGGTAAACTAATTGAGCGAGGTTAATCTGAATCTTCTATTCACCCTGCTGAAATTGAAATTAATTCACTCTTCTTAGAAACCAGAACTAACATGGGCAATCTTGACTAAAACATTTTCTGACATCAGATATTTATAAAATATTTGTACATAAACTTAAAAAGATGCATTAAAATACCAGGCCTACTAAAAGTTGAGAGCATATTTAATCACCTAAAAATATAGTTTACTATGAAATTATGGGAAAAATAGTCTATATATATAATTCACATATTTGTTTCAGGGAATATAGAGTCTGGTGAATTGAAATTTTGTGCTAAAAGACATACTGTTTCAGGCACAATGTATTTGAAATTCCCAGAGAGACATATATGTAGTGAAAAAACACATGTATAGTAAAATAGGTGGTCTCTATTGCTTTAATACAGCCAGTAACATTAGATTTCTTTAGTTCGGGCGTGGCCTTCACATGGACAAATGCTGCAACTGAAACTGCCCTAATGTATCCACCTACTCTTTGCGTTCTTGCACTGATTACTTTGTTAATACTATTCCCTCTATGGCTGATGGATATACAGAGCAAGTGTTGACTTCAGAAGGATACATTACTTACAGCATGGAGAACAGTTTGGAGAAATTTGTTGGAGAAATTAGAAAGGTAAGCCTACTCCATGGTATTAATAAGAACTGAGAGAGGACTTAGTGATTGAGTGATCTGACAGAAAACAGACTCAAAACTAAAATTAAGAATGCAGGTATCTGGTTTCTTCTTTATGTTTGAGGCAGGGTCTCACAGCGAATGTATGCTCTGTTTGTCATGTAAATAACTACACGATCCAATCTGGCTTCCAACTCATCTCCATCTCCATGTGTCTAGGAAGACCATGAACGGCCTACAAGGCTAGGTTACGGGTTTCTGACTTGGGCAATAGGGTAATCTGACTACCTACTCAGATATTCAGAATAAGACTGATGCATCCAAGAGTATAAGAGAAGGTAGAAACACTTAGAATTCAGTTTAAAGAGGTAACCATAAAATGCCTTTAAAATCCGCACACCTGGAGCTAAAGCAATGGCTTTGTGGCTAAGATTAATTGCTGCTCTTGCAGAGTACCTGGGTTCAGTTCCTAGCATGCACCTAGTAGCTCAGAAAACACCTCTCACTGTACATCAATGGGGATTTGATGCTCTCTTCAGGCCTCCATGGGCAGGACCAGGCACATACATGGTACATATATACATAAGCAGGCACTCAAACATACCCATAAGAACAAGTGTCTTAAAAAATCATTTCTAGGGGCTGGAGAGATGACTCTTAAGGTTAAGATCACTGGCTGCTCTTCTAGAGGTCCTGAGTTAAATTTCCAGCAAACCACATGGTGGCTCCCAACCATCTATAATGAGATCTGGTGCCCTCTTCTGGCATTCAGGCACACATGCAGGCAGATCATTGTATACAGAATAAATAAAAGTACTACATATGTTATATAATGATAGTACAACAAAAAACTACCATGTATCAGCATATCATTACCATAGCATGAGAAGACATTAAATTACCCAGAAACACTAGGTACAAAACAAAGCCTAAGAAGAACAGGAAAGTTGAGTCAGAAATACTTACTAGTCATTACATAAATTGGAATCAAAAGGTCTGATATAGTTGGAAAGTGTTACAGGAACAGCAGGCAAACACAACAGTTTGGAAAATAAAGTTATAGTGGCCCACAAACATCATAGCCATGTGCAGATCAAATATAGAACAAATTGACAAGCCTCAACTTGAGGGAGGAAGGTATTTACCTGGGACATGTACATCACTTCCTCCAAGGCCCAGGGAACATCACCATAGAGGAGTCATGACTAATAAAAGAGCTACAGCAGCATAAGGAGCATAGTGAAAAGCTCTCTTCTGAATGTGATAGGGTACTGTGCCCATGAAATCATCTAGCCTAGCTATATACACAAGACCTAAACATAATGGATGAATCAACATTTCATCACAGAATTTTAGAATGGAACATATTATACTGTGGACAGCTACACTGCTAAACAGAATTATTTACAAAAGGGAGTATTTTACAATGACATTCAAAGAACAGAGAACAGCTGGAGTACTACTGTTGTCAAGAGAAAAGGAAAACAATCTAGCACATGAACGAGAGGTATTAGTTAGCTTCAGATAAGAGTAGAAACTGTTCAGTGACTACAGCAGTCAAAAAAACAGGAGATTCACCTAACAAACATGGTGCTGCAAGGTAATCTGGGAATTACTTCAGAAAGAAACAAATCTTCATTTGTAATCATAGCAAAACTAATCAATGTCACCTGTGCATTTAAGTGTCATCAATCATTCTTGTGCCATAGGAATTTCTCTCAGTGAAACAAATACAGAAATTTTCCTAAGATTTCCATGTTATAGAAGCTACTCAATATCTAAAAAATGTTTATATTCAGAATTACTTCTAAATTACAATGATACCACTACCGTAATTAGGTCGTGTGACACATTAACATAGCAACAGATACAAATGCAAACATGTTCTGGTAGTATTCAAGACCTTTTAAAAACGTAGAGATCAAAATTAAGCAACTACATAATCTATGGAAGATTACATAAAATTTGCAAATTTCCTTTAGTTAATTATTTAGTTCTGGAATCCAAAAGTTGTAACAATATACATACAGGAGCCTTAACTAAAGGGTTATCTGTTGGGTCATCTGAAGTAGAGAAAGACATACAGCTATCTAGTACTCACAAAGTTGTTGCAATTTTCACAAGATACAAGAAAATCCTGAATTACACAATCTTCTAAAATGCAAGATATGCCAAGCTTATGCCAGCCACCCTTTAAGTGTGAAGTGTTTCTTTAGTCTAAATGCTGAAAAGTCACCATTTTTGTATACTCCTTAATATGTACATCTCAATTTTTGCCATTCATATAGCTAGAACTTTTATTAAATAATATATTCAGAAAGTATAGAATTCACGAGGCCACATCTATGAACCATCATAAAGTGAGTGAACACCCTCCTGCAAATTAGAAAAATACAGAAATTACTATCAACAGACAAAGAGCCTTCTGTGTCACTCCATGACAGCTGCCAAGACATTTGCAAAGGGAGAACACTTTCATGAAAACAGTGCAGTGAACATCAGCATAGGGTCTCCTTCACAGATAGGTGTAAGGAAGCTGTACTCACAGCGGAGAACAAAACGCATACGCTGGAGAAACTGCAATGCTAAACACCCTCTTCAACACTTGCCATTAGATTTGTATCTCTGTGTATCCTGTTGAGGCCTGATAGTGTCCTGTAACAATTTAATTTTACAATGCATCACAGATCACAAAAGTCGAAGCATTTTCATGTTTAATGAAATCTGGACATTAGGTGACAGTGCCCAGTGTTTTGTCTTCTTTTAATATTTGGTTATGTGCCTTACTGTTAATGTCTGGTGGAGTTCTTTATACCTGTAGATCCAGGATTTTGTTTAATATACAGAAAGCAAGGAAAGACTTAGCAAAGGTGAACTTCCTTTCATTGTCTTAAAAGTACCCTTTAGCAAACAATTTCTTAACATTAATATAGCTCACCTATTTCTTCTAGTTCACTTCACCTTCTGCTCTAGGATATTCTTATCCAACAATGAATACCCTACACCTCCTTTTGAAAAATGTTATGCTCCCAATTAGATTCATAATTAAGTTGGCTGTGTTGTACAGGACAATTGGGTTTCATATTATCTAGCTGTAAAATGAACATACCCAACTTTTACTAAGGATCTACAGTAAATGCTGTTCTTTGTAAGCAGAAATTTTCAAGCACTCTAGCTCTTCTTTCATACAGTTATGCTTATTCTATTCTTTACCCTTTACATTTCAGATATATTAACAAACCCTTTGTCAACTGTCACAAAAATTTTCCTAATTTTCTCATA